ATATATATATATATATATATATATATATATATATATACAGAGAAAAATAATATGACTTCTTTTATTTATTTATTGGACAAATATTTATTGAGAGCTTACCACTCAAGTACTCCTTTTAAATGTTGGGTAGATACAACAATGAACAAAATATGTTCTTCCCCCCTCATGGAATTTATATTTTAGTGAAGAAGAAAGAAAATAAATATGTAGCACAGAGATGTGAAATATAATGTCAAGTACTAATGAGTGCTATGAGGAAAAATAAAGTGAAAAGAGATTAAAGTTAAGAAGAATGCTATTTTAGATAAAGCGATCTGAGAAGGCCTCTCTGAGGAGGTAGTTATTTGAACAAAGATCTGAATTAGGTGATAGAATGGGCATTTCATGCAGATGAACATCAAGTGTAAAGCTTGAAGTTAAGCTTGTATGTCTTTTTAAAGCAATATCAATAAAGTCAGTGAGATATGAGCAGAGGAAGTGAGGGGGAGAGTATTATGAAATAAGATCTAAGAAGTAGCCAGTGCCTAGATCATGCAAGTGTCTTCCTATTAGCCATGGAAAGACTATGTTTTATTCTAAAAATAAGGGAAGCCATTACATAGTTTTTTTTTTTTTTTTAATTTTTTTTTTCAACGTTTATCTATTTTTGGGACAGAGAGAGACAGAGCATGAACGGGGGAGGGGCAGAGAGAGACGGAGACACAGAATCGGAAACAGGCTCCAGGCTCTGAGCCATCAGCCCAGAGCCCGATGCGGGGCTTGAACTCACGGACCGCGAGATCGTGACCTGGCTGAAGTCGGACGCTTAACCGACTGCGCCACCCAGGCGCCCCACCATTACATAGTTTTGAGCAAAGCTGTGGCATATTCTATTTTAGACTTTAAAAGGAATTTTCTGGCTGTTATGAGAATAAACTATAGGAGGTTAAGAGTGGAATAAGGAGTATGAGTTGGAAGGGAATAACAGTAATGCAAGTAAGAGGTGATAGTTACTTGGACCAGGGTGCACCAGTGGTGGAGGTGGTAAAATGGGGTCAGTGTATGGATATATTTTGAAGGTAGTACTGGTAGGATTTATTAATGCATGGAATGTAGAGTGAGAAGGAAAGAGAGGAGTCAAACATGATCCTACGGTTTCTGGCCCAAGCAACAATGGGGAATACTGAAGGAGGAACAGGGATCAAGAAATGGAGGGAATCAGAAGTTCAGTTTTGGATATGTTAAGTTTGAGATGTAGGTATTAGTTATCTAGGTAGAAATGGTGATTAGGCAGTAGGCTAAGGTGCAGAGAAGTCACACTGGAAGTAAATTTAGGAGTCATCAGCATGGAAACTGGGTGACATCACCTAGGAAGAAAGTGTAGTTTAAAAGAGGACCAAAGGGGTGCCTGGGTGGCTCAGTCAGTTAAGCATCTGACTCAGGTCATGGTCTCACAGTTTGTGAGATGAGCCCTCAGGCTCAGGTCATGATCTCACAGTTCGTGAGATGAGCCCTAAGTTGGGCTCTGCACTGACAATGTGAAGCCTGCTTGGGATTCTCTCTCTCCTTCTCTTTCTGCCCCTCTCCTGCTCACACTTTCTCTCTCTCTCTCAGTCTCTCTCTCAAAATAAATATATAAACATTAAAAAAAAAATAAAAAAGGACCCAAGATTGAACCCTGGAGCCCTTAAGGTTTTAAAAATGAGGAAGAAGATCCTGTAGTCAAAAGTGAGAAAGATCAGCCAGTGGTGTAGGAAGAAAAACATGAAGAGTGTGGTGTTCTGGAAACCAAATGAAGAAAGTGTTTCAAGCAGGAGAGTGCAAACTATGTCAAATTCTTTTGGGAAGTTAGGTAAGATAAGGTCAGAGAGTTGGCTAATAGATTTGGCAGTGTGGATGTCACCTGTGACCTGGGCAAGAGTGGCATCAGTAGGCATGAATGAAGGGCTTGATGGGGGTGGGTTTGAGAGAGAATGCAAGGTGAGGAAGTGGAGAAAATGAGATAAAAACCTCTTTTGAGGAATTTTGCTTTAAGGGAGTTAAGGAGGGTAGCTGGGATAGCTGGATAGGGATGTTCAATAAAGGAAAGATTTTTTTTAAAGATGGGAGATAGTTTAACATGTGTGTTTGCTAGTGAGAAGAAATAAAAGAGGGGGAAATTGATGATGTGAGGAAAAGGGGGGATCAGTTAAGGAGCAAAGTTTTAGACTAGTGAAATGGGAAGGGATCCAGTGTGCCACTGAAGGGGTTAACCTTGGAGAGGAGCATGATAGTTTTTCCACTGACACATAGGAGGAAGCAGAGTATGAGTACAGGTTCAGATTGGCAGTTAGATTTGGTGATGGGAACACTGGAATTTTTCTTTTGGTGGCTTCTTTTTTCTTCCCACCCCAGTGAAATAGCAAAACAGGGAATTTCTCCTTATTCTCTCCCTGTTTCTTTCTTTTTTTTTTTTTTTTTAATTTTTTTTTTCAACGTTTATTTATTTTTGGGACAGAGAGAGACAGAGCATGAACGGGGGAGGGGCAGAGAGAGAGGAAGACACAGAATCGGAAACAGGCTCCAGGCTCTGAGCCATCAGCCCAGAGCCCGACGCGGGGCTCGAACTCACGGACCGCGAGATCGTGACCTGGCTGAAGTCGGACGCTTAACCGACTGCACCACCCAGGCGCCCCTCTCTCCCTGTTTCTTAATCACAGCAGAACCCTGATTTTGTTGGGAGCTAGGTGCCAAGTTTCTGTTTCAATTACACAAGGGATGTCTATGTGACTAAGTTCTGGTGAATTGTTAGTGGAAGTTATTTTGTGGGGCTTCTGAGCTGGTATATGTTTTTAGCCCTTTCTTTCTCTCTCTCTCTCTCTCTCTCTTTTTTTTTTTTTTTTGCTTAGAATGTGGACATGATCATTGAAGTTCAACCATCTTACAACAATAAAGTGATCCTAAACCATTGCTAAGGATGGAGGAAGCTAGAATCTAGGTCCCTGATGACATTCTGGAGCTGCCAAACCAGCCCAGGATTGCCTACCTCTGGACTTTTCGTTATGGGAGAAAATAAAACAATTTGTTTAAGTCACACTGATCTTTTTCCCTTTTTTCATTTTCCTGGGATGTGTGTGTCTGTTATTTGAGGCTGATTAAAGTTACAACTGATGTGGTGGGATCTTGTGGAATTTTTCTTCTGTATTTATTTTTCTTCTGTATTTATTTTTATTTTGTTTTTAATTTTTTTAATGTTTATTTTATTTCTGAGGGACAAAGACACAAAGCATGAACAGGGGAGGGTGGAGAGAGAGGGAGACACAGAATCTGAAACAGGCTCCAGGCTCTGAGCTGTCAGCACAGAGCCTGATGTGGGGCTCGAACCCATGAACCACAAGATCATGACCTGAGCCAAAGTTGGACGCTTAACCGACTGAGCTACCCAGGCACTCCTCTTCTGCATTTATTTTTAAATTTTTTTATTTTCTGTTTTTTCAGTGAAATGGGAAGGGGAGGGTCACTGACTAAACGTGAGGATTGGGGAGAGAGTGTGGGAGTTTTGAAGAGAGCAAATGTATAAAATAGTCATCTCTGAGAGTGGGAGAGTAAATTAACTAGGGAAATGTAGTAAAATTTCCAAGTATTGTTGAAGGCATAGTAGATTTTTCAAACATTTGTGGTTGTAAATACAAACTGATTATCAGTCATCCTGGTAGTTTTTTTCCAGTCAGGACCAGCTGCTCAGATGAGGTATGAAATAGGTGGAGAATTGGATTTATCCAGGATTGGTGTTTTGCTGAAACTGCTGGATCACCATTTGTGAAATAGAAGACAAAGTAGATGTTAGCCACTGAAAAGATAATTGAATATCTGAATGGATTTTTTTTAATGTAAAAACAAAACAAAACAATAGACTAGTTAAAAGTTCTCATGGTTCAAAAGTTGAAGAGATAAGCCAATGTACATTGAGAAGTTTTGCTTCCACCCTGTGATCTCTGATAGCTGGTTAAATGTTATTTCTGGGTGTGTCTGTAAAGTATTTCCAGAAGATATTAGCATTTGAATTGGTGGACTGAATAAAGCAGATGGCCCTCTCCAATGGGAATGGATGTCATTCAAAGCATTGAGGGCCTGGGGCACCTGGCTGGCTTAGTCAATAGAGCATGGGACTCAATCTCTGAGTAATGAGTTTGAGCCCTACTTGGCTGTAGAGTTTACTTAAAAAACAAAAACAAAAACAAAAACAAAAAAGTGTTGAGGGCCTGAATAGAACAAAAAGACACAGGAAGTTTAAATTTATTCTCTCCCTGACTACATGAGCTGAGACATCAATCTTCTGTCCTCAGTGTTCCTGATTCTCAGACTTCAGATCCAGACAGGAATCTACACCATTAGCTCTCCAACCTTTGAGTTACATGCCTGTCTTTTCTAGGTCTCTAGTTTGTGGATGATAGACAGTGGGGCTTCTCAGCCTCAATAATCATGTGAGCCAATACTTTATAATCTCAATGGATGGGTGGGTGGATGGATGGATGGATGGGTAGATAGGTAGGTAGGTAGGTAGACAGATCCTATTGGTTCCCCTCTGGACAGCCTTGGCTAATACACAAGTCTGTGCTCATTCATCCCATTCCTCCCCACTAGCCCTATAGATAAGCATTTGTGTTAGTTTGTTGTGAATTCTGTCAATATTTCTTCATGAAAATATAAACAAATATTGACCTATTCTTATTTCGCCTTTTTTTCATGTTTCATTTTATTTTTTGAGAAATAGAGAAAGAGTGCAAGCAGGGGAGAGGCAGAGAGAGAGGGAGACACAGAATCCAAAGCAGGCTCCAGGCTCTGAGCAGTTAGCACAGAGCCCAACGCAGGGCTCGAACCCACAAATGAAAGATCATGACCTGAGCCAAAGCTGGATACTCAACCAACTGAGCCACCGAGGCACCCCTATTTAACTCCTTTTTTATGCACAAAAGGGTAGCAAGCTATAGTGCATGCTGTTTTACACCTTGCCTTTTCACTTGTCAGTATATTCTGGATATCTTTCCATATCAACAACTCCTAGAAAGCATCTTCATTAGTTTTATTTTCTATTCCGTCTATAGGGTGTCAATCCAAAATGAACAAGCCTTTTAGAATTTCTTCTTTTTTTAAATTTTTTTAATGTTTATTTTTGAGAGAGAGAGAGAGAGAGAGAACAAGCAAGAGGGTGGCAGAGAAGGAGGGAGATACAGAATCCAAAAGCAGGCTCTAGGCTCTGAGCTGTCAGCACAGAGCCCAATGCAGGGCTCAAGCCCAAGGGCCGTGATATCATGACTTGAGCTGAAGTTCGACACTCAACTGACTAAGCCACCCAGGGGCCCCTAGCCTTTTAGAATTTCAAAAAGTGAAGAAAGTTTTATTCGAGCCCACGTTAGTACAGATGCCTTGGAAACATGATCTTCATGGGGAAGAAACTGTTCCAAGAATGAGCAATTTTTATAGGGTTATATACTTTTTTTCATCTTATGAAAGCTCAAAGGATTATAAGTCTGCATATAGGCAGTAATCATGAGTTTTATCATAAAAGAATGCAGGGAGTAGCAGCATTGATGGTTATCTCAAGGACAAGATGATTTTCCTTTAGGCTACTCGTTCATGAAGCAGAGGTACAATGCATGCGTGGCAGGCCATAAATCAGGCTTTTGGTTTGAACAAAGTTTATGTACAGTCATGCTGACTTAGAAAGAAATCTAAAATGGCTTCCCTTGTGTATCAGGCCTTTAGAGAGTTTTTCTCTCGTCAAAGTAGTCTGTTGTTATGGATGTATCATAATTTATTTAATGAATATTTGAAAGCAAGGTCTTTCTTTGGAAGAACTAGGTTTTGTTAAGGCTTTGTAGATAACAAGGGCCAGTATAGCAGGACTTCGTGTTTAAAGATCATGCCAGGATCCATAGAATTGTGAAGAATGCATGATGATGGAAAAAAATCATTCTCCAAAAAGAAGGATTCAACCAACAGACAGGAAGTGGTGAATGTGAGAAATAAGGAAGAAATACCGAATAAAAACTGTGCTGTCTAATTAACCATAGGTTTACAACCTATTGGAAATATGTATGAACACTGCACCCCCCTCCCCCCCCACCCGCCCGCCACCATGGAGTCCCAAACCCTTAGTCACTTCACTTCCTGGTTCTTCTTCCCCTCTCCCTTTTGTGGGCTTATTTTCTCAGGCTTTGCAATGAGCACACACCAAAGAACAAAGGGAGAAGGGACTGAAAGACTGTGTCACCTCAGGAAATGTATATTTGTTCCAATCAGACTACTTTTTGTCTTACATGGGCACAGGCAACATCTGGGTAAGGCTATAACCTCTGTAGTACTCAGCTAATGAGGAACCAGGGGAGGAACTTGCATACTAGGAGATAAATTGTCGACTGCCCTGAGTGTGCCTGCCTGTCAGACACCCAGGCTTGGAACAACGTTGATTAAAACCTCTCTTCACTGTGCTCCGAATCTCCGTGTCCCTCCTTTGACTGGGTTGATGGGCTAATTTCTAATTAATTAATTAATTAATTAATACTACTCAGGCTATTATTGGCAGAGAGGTAGGAGCATTTGGAAAGTTTTATATGAAACATCAAGCAAAGATTGAGGCAGTTATGAGATTCAGGAAAAATAAAAGTTTGTATGAGAAAGGAAGTATCGTTATAGTGGACTACAGTAAAACCTTGGACTGCGAATAACTTGTTCTGCGAGTGTTCTGCAAGACGAGCAAACATTTCTAATAAATTTTAACTTGATAAACAAGTGGTGTCTTGTAATATGAGTAGTATGTGACGCCAAATGTCACATGATTACAACTGAGCCAATGGTTTTTGAAATTCTCTTTGATGTACGAGTGCTTTGGATTATAAGCATGTTTCCGAAATGAATTATGCTTGCAAACCAAGGTTTTAGTGTATTTGCTTCAGCAATGAATAATACTTGAATAACCACAATAATACAGGGGCACCTGGGTGGCTCAGTCAGTTAAGTGGCCTACCGCTCTTAATCTTAGCTCAGGTCATGATCTCACGGTTCATGGGCTTGAGCCCTGCACTGGGCTTTGTACCAAAAGTGCAGAGCCTGGTTGGGGTTCTCTCTCCCCCTCTCTCTCTGCCTCTCCACCACTTGTGCTCTCTCCCTCTCTCTCAAAATAAATAAACTTAAAACAATTTTTTTAAAATTAAAAATAAAAAGATTCTCATTCTCTCCCTGTACCTCTCCCCCCCCCCCCCACTCTCTCTCTAAAATAATAAAAAAAATTCTAATAATTGATAGGTATTCTTTTTTGGAATTTTTGTATATATAGTCATTCTGTAAGATTCTTTCTGACAGCAAACACATGGTGTTTAACACACCAATTTTTGTTTTTAAGTAGGCTCCATGCTCAGCATGGAGCCCAACACAGGGCTTGAACTCCTAACCCTGAGATCAAGACCTGAGACAAGATCAAGAGTTGAACATTTAACTGTCTGAGCCACTGAGGCGCCCCTCCACCCCAGTTTTTAATTCTCTGATACCACCTGGGTGTTTAGCATCCGATTCAGTTCTGACACTATGTGCAGTTAGTGCAGACCCCACCAGTGAAGGGCTCAATCACAAAAGACTGCCCCCACTTAAGGGCCCAGTCGCAAGTCCCAATGTGCCACCTATACTTACACCCACCAGCTATAAACTCAGGGGTTCCCATGACCCTTTCTCTCAGTTTCAATAATTTGCTAGAAGTACGGTTTCTTGATTTGCCTCTCTCTCTCTTTTTTCCCCTTTGCTCATTTGTTTTGTTTCTTAAATTCCACATATAAGTGAAACCATATGGTATTTGTCTTTCTCTGACTGAGTTACTTTGCTTAGCATTATACTGTCTAGCTCCATCCATGTCGTTGCAAATGGCAAGACTTCATTATTTTTTATGGCTAAATAATATTCCACTGTATGTGTATGCCACATCTTCTTTATCCATTCATCTATTGATGGACACTTGGGCTGCTTCCATAATTCAGCTGTTGTAAATAATGGTGCAATAAAAATAGGGGTGCATGTATCCCTCTGAATTAGTGTCTTTGTATTTTGGGGGTAAATACCCAGTAGTGTAATTACTGGATCATAGGTTAGTTCTATTTTTAACATTTTGAGGAACCTCCATACTCTGGA